GAAATATGTCAGTCACAAAAAGACAAATACTGTATTATCCCACTCATATGAGGTATCTAAGATATTTGAAATGAGAAAGTAGAAAGATAGTTGCTAACATCTGGGAGTAGAAGAGAGGGGAAACTGTTATACTGACAAATTTATAGTGCTTAATGCATTTGAAACCATATTTTTAAAATATTGTTTCAGATGTAGTTGGACACAACACCTTTATTTTATTTTTATGTGGTGCTGAGGATCAAACCCAGCACTCCACATGTGCTAAGTGAGCACTCTACTGCTAAGCCAGGACCCCAGCCCCTTGAAACCATAATTTTAAGTTTAAAATAATTAAAAAAATAAGGAGCTTGGGGTAGAGGTTGTCTACCATGCATGARGTTCAGTGTTCAATCCCCAGCACTGCAGGGGATGGAAATTGTCTGCTGAGTGTCAGAAACTATGCAGGTTACCTTTGTKTAAGTCTTTCATTTCCACAGAAGCTGAAAAGAGGAAAGCAGGTAATCCCAGCTTTCTGGTTTACTTACCCTGAAGCAGGTACTCCATCATGTTAATGGTGCCCCCAGTAACAGGCATCATGGTAACTGGGGGTGCCTCCATGGTGTCTGATTAATTGAAGACTACAGAACTGGACTCAGAGCACCCAGTAAGGTAAGGCACAGGATACCCTGGAAAAGTAACATTTGTTTATACATCAGAGATGGAGAGATACCAGGTTTGCATGGCATTGGCCCTGGAATCAAGATTAATTCATTCAAAACTTTTTGAGTATCCGCTTATGTGGCCAGTTCCAGGAACTGACGATATAGAAATATACAAAGAAAATTTGACCACGGAGTTACAGAGTAACATTCTAGTTTCAAGTTYTAAAACCTCAAAAAGTTATCTGTTCAATCTTGAGGAAGTCATGTAACCTCTCACCGTCTTTTCCCTATAAAATGGGGTCAAGGATACTAACCCTCCGGACTACGTGGCTCAAAAGAAATAACAGACATTCAATTACATTCGGAAAAACTGAAAAGTGACTTTAGAGATCTTGTCTTCCCTTCATTTTACAGATTAGACACAGAGGCACGGAGAGGGATACAAGGCAAGTCACAGTGCACATCAAGTCAGTAGCAGAACCTGCGGCCGACTAGGAGAGAGCTCGCGGAAGCATGAAGTTCTTTTATAAAATGATAGTACAGATCGTCCTAAGCCGGCATCCCGGACGTGTGCACTTACACTGGAGAAACACACCTCCGCCCGCGCTCCACCCGCAGAGCCTTTGAGCGACAGTTACTCTCCAGACCTCAGAATACAGGAGCCTAGCAAGAAACACCACGAGCAAAACCGCCCCGCCTCCTTCTCTTCCCACTTCCGGCAGGAAGCCGACGTCGCGCAAACAAGGCGAGACACTGCCGCCTCGCGACGTAAGGGTGCCGAGAGGGTCAGAAATTGTTTCTTTGCGGGCAAGCGGAAACGCATGCGCAAACATGCGGCACTGGTTTGTACAGTAACTGCTCGGTGGTRGCGGGGGAAGCTTGACGTCATAGGCCCTCATCTAGGAAAATATTTATTTTTTTCCAAGTTCGATGACCCAGAGATGTTTTTGTGTAGGAGATCTCTTGGAACTGGTAGAAGTGAAGAAAGAACTTATGTTTAAACTTTGATCGCAGAAACGCTGACTCGGACAAGAAAGGGAGCTTCACGAAGAGAAGGGGAGAATGTTATAAAACAAAGACCTCTTTTTATTAGATACCTGAAGGTGAAAAGGAAGACGCCCTATATTGCTTACCATAATGTTGTGAGCAACTGGGGATCTCAGCAATAGCCTTATTTTTTTTTCACTTTGCTATGGATATTAAACTCAATTTAAAAATATTGGGGGTGGCGTGCACCTGTAACTACTCAGGAGGCTGAGATGGGGTGGCTTGAGCCCATGGTTTGAGGCCAGCCTGAGCGATATAAGACAACCCAGGCTCAAAAATAAATAAAAAATATGGGGTGGGGGTTGTAAATTCAACATTTATTGAACTCTGCTAACGTCAAGCACAAAAAGTGTGGAGGGAGCAGGGATTAGGRAAAGATGAATGAAGCATTCACTTGAAATCCTGAAATTAAAAGGATACTAAAAAATTCAGTGATTAACAAATAATGTCTTACATAGTTAATGTAAAAGTAAAGCCAGCCCAGGTGGCCCAGACTTTTAATCCCAGCAACTCATGAGACTGATGCAGGAGGATCACAAATTTGAGGCCAGCCTGGGCAACTTAGGGAAACCTTGTCTCAAATAAAAAGGAATGGGGATGTAGCTCAGTGGTAAAGTGCTTCTGGGTTCAATCCCTAGAGCCCAAACAAAATTTCCAAAATTTAATGATCCTCACAGAAACCCTATGAATCAAGTACCACTATTACTGTAATAGTGGTACAGTGGGAAAATTTAGACAACAGATGTTAAATTATGTACAAAGGAGTAGAGAGGCTGGGATACAAATCAAGCAGTTTATTGGTCCATCCTCTTTGGGACTATACYATACTGACACTTTTAACTCTAGCTCTGGTTTCCTTTCTCTATACAGCCTCCCTCCACCTTTATTATTATTATTTTTTCCAGTACTAGGATTGGACCCAGGGGTGCTTTTCACTGAGCTACATCCCCAAACCTTTTATTTATTTTTAATTTAATTAATTAATTAATTAATTATGAATTAATTAAATTTAATTTTTTAGTACTGGGGATTGAACCCAGGGATGCTTTACCACTGAGCTATATCACCAAGCCTTTTTTTAACACC